CTCTCACACCTCTACCTCGCCTTGGCTGCATGCATACATTCCTGCAATCTTTCTTCTTCCTTTCTAAGGAGGAGGTCAGGTCCCTGGCCCTCTGCTATGTGCCTGCCGAAACACTGTAGCGCACTTGCATCGTCAGTGAGCGACTCAGCCTTCCGCCCCGTCTATGGCTTGGATGAGCTTGCCCAGCTCCACGTTGCCGCCCGTCAAGATGCAGCCTATCCTAATTTCTATGCCTTGCTGACTTGTCGCCGCCGATTGCGAGCTCTCATGCGACGATAGACGCCCGATCGCTTTGGTCTTTTGCCGCACTGCCTCTTGGAAGTCCTTGTTGGAGAGAACGACCGCTAAAGACGTAGCCGCGCTAGGTTCAACGACCTGCTTGAGCCTCTCGAGCAGCAGTCGATTGGCGCGGAGTGTGGAGGCGTCGTCGACCAGATGCACGCAGGTGACATTGCTTTGCAAGATTGACAGGGTACGGGATGAGAGTGCTGTGAGCAGGCCGTCGCAGATGGTCTGGGCTGGGACGATGGCGGGCTCGACGTTGCCAGATTGGAAGGACCGAGATGCATCATCGGCGCCTGAGAACGAAACAACGGCGAGAAGACATGACACAGTACATCAGATGGATCTAAGCTGGTCCTAGCACACTGGGCAAGCGTGACTCACCAAGAGGCTCGGCAGCCCTCACATCGATCCTCGCATCCAACTCCTTGAGAGCTGTGCTCGATCCGCTCATCATCCCGCCTCCCCCCACAGGTCCAATCACGAAATCACACCGCGGAAGAGAATCTGAACGTCGCAGCCAGGCATTTTCTCGCTGTGTGCCTGTCGAAGCAGCATGGCTACAGCCGGGACGATGTTCAAGCATCTGCACCTGCTCGTACATTTCCAAAGCTAGGGTGCCCTGTCCACCGGATGTGGGGCAGTATCAGCGTCGCGAGCGCGCCTGGTCCATCTTACAAGATGTACAATCTGCACCATAGTCTCTTACAGCTGCGTACTCACTTGACCCTCAATAACCCACGGCTCGTCGTACGGATGAACAAAAGTGGCTTGGTAGCCTTGCGCTCGCAGGTCTTCGAGCACCTGCTCTGCTGTGTTCTCCCTCGCCGCAAGCGTTGGCTCGCATAGATGCACCACTGCGCCGTAGCCTCGTACTGCCGACTGTTTGACGAGCGGAGCATCTGCAACACGATGACAAACAGTCAAGAATTGGCAGGGTACACGTGTGCGTCACCAGACGTCATCATTCTGGCCCTACATGACTTACTGTTCGGCATGACGACGTGAGCTGCCGCGCCATTCTGTGTAGCGGCGCAGGCCAACGCGGCTGCATGGTTCCCACTCGAGTGCGTTACGAGCGCAAGCTTGAACCTTTCGCCTTGAGCAGACTTCGCATTTCCACCTGTTGCTGCGCTCGCCTCGAGGTGCCTCAATACAGCGTTCGTAGCTCCTCTGAATTTGAACGCCCCT